GACCCTAGGATCATGACCCAAGCCAAAATCAAGAGTCAGACGCTCAACCAACTGAGCCACCCAGGCGCCCATGGGTATTACAGACATTTTAATAATGTTTGTTCTTCCAATCCATGAGCATGGAATGTTTTCCATTTCTTTGTGTCCTCTTCAATTTTCTTCATATGTTTTCTGTACTTTTTAGGGTCCCGATCTTTTACCTCTTTGATCAGGTTTATTCCTAGGTATCTTCTGGTTTTTGGTGCAGTTGTAAATGGGATCAATTCCTTGATTTCTCTTTCTGCTGCTTCGTTATTGGTGTATAGAAATGCAACCGATTTGTGTACATTGATTTTTTATCCTGCAACTTTGCTGAATTCATGTATTAGTTCTAGCAATTTTTTGGCAGAATCTTTCAGGTTTTCTATGTAGAGTATCATGTTGTCTGCAAATAGTGAAAGTGTGACTTCTTTCTTGACGATTTGGACCTTTTATTTTTGGTTTTGGTTTGCTCACAGTTACAGCATTTTATTTCAGCTTTAGTTATTTTATCCCTGCAGTAAGGGATTCTTTTGTGACTTCTATGCTTTTTTCAAACCCAGCTAGTATCCTTATAATTGTTGTGGTTTTTTTTTTCAGTTTATTTATTTATTTTTGAGAGAGAGCATGCATAAACACAAGTGGAGTAGGGGCAGAGAGGGAAGGAGAGCAGGAGAATCCCAAGCAGGCTTCACCCTGACAGTGTAAAGCCCAACACTGGGCTTGAACCCATAAACCTTAAGATTATGACCTGAGCCAAAATTGAATTGGACACTTAATGACTGAGCCACCCAGGCCCCCTATAATTGTTTTAAATTCTAGTTCAGACATCTTACTTATATCTGTATTGATTAAACCTCTGACCCTTCCTTCTTCCTGTTTTTTCTTTTGGGGTGAATTTCTCCATCTTCTCATGTGTAAATTCAAAAAAGGGTTGGGGGGGAGGCTGTGTTTTGTGGTCTTGTCTGTTTGTCAAAAGAAGCTAGATCCAAAAATAAATAACTAAACTTCTTTTAAAATAAATAAAAATAGGCGCGCCTGGGTG